GCAGCCTGACCCTTCTGGCTACATGGACATGGTTCCCATTGGGAGCTAGGCTGCGGGCTGAATGGGATCCAGGTCAGACCCATGGGCTGGTAATGGGGAAGGTGTGCTCTTCACAAGCACCATTCTTCAGGGCAGGGGGGCACTCTGCCTTCCAGGACCACCTGTGCATGGCAGCATGCTGCCCTAGTCCTGCAAAATGAGTGCCAATTAACGACACCCTTCCCCACCCCCAGCCCACTGGCCAGTTATTGGAAACTGGCTACAAACAGAGACACTGAGGTCAGCAAGGTGACAGGGCCAAGGCCACAGAGTCAGCAACCAACACAGCTGAGGGAGAACAAGCTTCCTTTGCCACCAGCTCCAGCCATTAGACCCCACTCCCCTCCCAAAGCTGGGCACAGAACCCAGGACTCCTGATTCCCACCCCTCCACTCCAATCACTAGATCCCTCCACCCTCAGTTCCTCCTGGACCCTTTGCTAGGCACAAACATAACACTGAAGCACAGGGTCTGCCAGTGCCACCTCCTGGCACGTGCCAGGCTCAGGGTGCAATCATAGGGGCCTAGGTGGGGGGATATACAAGGGGCCTGGGCACCTGAAGACTTACTCTGGTGATGCCTGTGGAGTTGGGGAAGTGCAGGGTGTAGACTCCACTGGTGGCCAGGCCCGATCTGAATGCAGCTGCGCAGTCCTGGAACGCCATCTTCTCATCCTGGGGTGCCGGGGAGATGTCTGCAGGGAGCAGGGAAGGGGAATATACTCAGCACAGTCCCTGGCTGCTCCCATCCTAGCCCTCCCCCTCGCTAACAGCCCTAGGAGCACCTGTTCCCCCTTTGGCTCTGCACTGGGCAGCAGGCTCCCTGCTGCCTTGGCTCCGAGCAGTGCAGCTCATGGAAAACTAAACTCAGCAGAGGTGAGCCCAGCAGAGACAGTTCCAATGGCACTCTCCAAACTCAGCACAGGCAGCAGGGTGGAGAGGGAGCAGGTTGGGCTGCAGTAAGGCACAGCTCCATCCCCGGGGGGGGGACCAGCTGCCCAACATTAGAGCACTCATGGACTGCTCCAGTTATCTCAGGGAGGGATATCAGGGGGGCATCACCAGTTCCCCAACGGTGCTTGCCATATGAGCGACTGGGTCTGAGTCTGTGCTCCACCTGTCCCAATACCTCTGCCCATCCCTTCTGCCCCAGGGCACTAACGGTTGCATTGTGAGACCAGCCCCAGGAGCTGGTGCACCGTCTCCACAAGCGAGGCCTGCTGTCTCTGCAGCACTGTGCCGTTGTCCGAGGCTGAGGCGAGGTGCTGCTGCAGTTCCCAAATGAGCTGGGCTTGCTGCGACAGAAGGCCCTGCATCTCCAGCTTCTCAGCTTTCAGCCCTTGGAGCTCCTCCTCATGCCTGCCTTCCATGTCCAGGACCTTCTTCTCCAAGAGGCTGCACAGGGGGAGAGAGGGCAGGGGAACAGTCTCAGAGAAAAGCCAAGGAGAGATGAGCCAGGGGGCAGAGCGCTAGGCCAGGGCTCAGGACCAGGAGTTGATCTCTGGCTTTGCCATTGGCTTCCCGCATGACCATGGGCAGGTCACTTCATCTCTCTAGGTCTCAGTTCCTCATCTAGGTGGATTTACAAGGGAGAATACTCCTGGCAGCCTAAACCTGTGACTTGAAGTGTGGGACAGGCAGGGGGTACGTGTGTGTAACCACGGTGTCCGACTGACCGTGCTGCTGGAGACTGCTTTGGCTGTGCGGAGATGTACAGTGCACTGCCAGCTTTGTCACTAAGTGGGGGCCCACATGCCAGCCCCCTGCAAGCAGAGACAACCTATTTATTCCCAGCTGTCTGCATTTCAGAAGCACACTCCCACCCCTTCCTATGCCACACTTGTACAAGGGGAACGGAAGACCCATCTGAGTGTGCCGAAAACCATCTCCAGAAACACAGGTCCCAGGGGCAAGCTTGCTAAGCTCTGGAGTTTGGGGTCCACATGGCATGACACAGCCACGGAAACCTGCAGGAAATGCGGCAGTTTGGGCTGCAGGAGCCAAGGCTCCCAGCAGAAGGGGAGCCTTACAGTTAGCCCAGCTTGGGCTGTCTGTTCATTAGACAGGCAGGAGTTTCAAAGGAGGCTTTACAGAACTTCCCCTGAAAACTGCATTTAAGCAGAGGAGGGGAATATGCTGGGCATGGTCACACTGCCCCGACACACACAACTCCTGTACGGTGCAATAGGTCCTCAGCTGGTGAGTGACGTCCAAGGACGGGCATGGCTTTATGCCCTCACCACCCTGCCTGGAAGATCCAGTCCCTGGATTCACTAAATCCCTCAGCACCCAGATTTCCCTCTTCCCATGTGGTCTTGCAGGCAGCCCTGAACCCTCTGATCTCCACAGCCCTCCAGTTGCTGCCAGTCATGGTTTTCCTCACCTGTTCTTCTCCTGGAGTTTATTTATTTCCTGTGTCTGCAGCAGCAGCTGTTTCTCCAGCTTCTGAGTGGACAGGGAGTTCTCCAGCATCTGGATCTCCAGCCGTGACGTGTGGTTGAGAACCTGAAACACCAGCCCCAGTGAGGTGGGTCAGGAAGGGGGAGAAGCGCGGACTGGGAGTCTCTCTCTGAGCTGGGCAGCAGGAAGAGCAGCCTGCGAGGGGGAAATGCCCTTTGGCCTCAATCTGTCTGGTGTGGAAGGTCCTGGGGAATAGGGTACACGGGCCCATCAGGGCCCTGAAAGCAGGAGGCGGCTGATCCCAAGAGCTCAGGGACAACTACCAGACCTGACCTTCCCAAAGGGCCCAGCGCCCAGCCATGTTTCAAAAGAAGAGGCCAAACCTCTTCATAGCCACAGCACTCCAGATGCAACCACATTCCTTGACATTTGTGAAGTGCCCAGTCTTGGTCTCTCAGAGCTGGACCGTATTAAAGCCTCCCACCAGCATTTTGCAGTCACAGCTTGTTGGCTGTGCATTGGTTACTCAGGCCAAATCCAACCTTAGTGCAAGTACATACGAACCTCGCCTGAACTCCTGGAGTCACACTTATCCATGCTGAGGGCCATTACCTGTGTCTCCACGTCAGTGAGCTTGCGGGTCTGCTCAGCTGTCTGGCTCAGCAGGCTGGTGCCCATCTCCAGCATGGCAGCTGTGTGGTTCTGCACTGCATGCAGCTGGATTTCAGCCATCTCCATCTTCACATTCTCCTGGATGTAGCTCTCCAGCTGGGATGGAAAATGCAGGAGAAGGGTCAGTTCTGCATATGAGCATCCACCACCCCCACCGCTACAGGCCACAGGATGAGATGGGGAGCATGCAATATGCTGACCACAAGCAGCCAAACTACCTGGACAGACACAGGCCACGTTAGTGCTGCAGGAGAACGTGAGCATGATGTGCTGTTTTGGTTGCACTGAAGCCTACCAATCCATTCCCTCTCTAGCCCCATACAAATCCCTCTAGCTATTCCTTTACATACACTTCCTTTCATGTACCCATGCAGCTATCTAGCCGTTGGCTGTGCGGGTTGCACCATAAACTGCTGCCCCCCTACAAGTCTCAATAACAGCAGTGTTCATGGCCCCTTAGACCCAGCTTCACGAGTCTGAAGGTGGGGCAGGCTCTGCTTAACCCCTGATGCCTCACAGTGTATGGCCCTGCCTTCCCCCTCCCCGTTTCACAGACAGGGAGTCTGCAGCACAGAGCAGTACAGTGAAGCAGGGCTCATCATGGTGGTGGCAGGGTTGGGGACATACCTCAAAGAGTATTTCATGTGCTGGTCACTAGCCTGCGCGCTCCCTTCTGCCAGAGGGGAGCAGGCAGCGAAACAAAGAGCGTAGGAGGGTAAGAGCATGTTGTCTCACTTGCTTGTCCTCTGTGTATTGTCCTTCAGTGCCTGCTCACTGGGACTGTGCGTGTTTTGCGTTGCATAAATATTTTTCTCTCCTGACTATATTTATGCAGGTGATGTACCCTGCACATGGGCAAATAGGTGCATCCCTATGGCTGCTGGACAAACTTCCTTCCATTGTCACACAAGTGAGGCAGGGAGTTCCACCCTTGCACACCCACACGGCTGTCTCTCAGCTCCCCTCCCCAGGGCCCACATGCCTCAGCAAGACCAGGTCAGGCCCCCCTCGAGCCAGGGCTCCAATGCAAGTGCATGCATACTCTTGAACAAAGAGGCTCCCTGGTTAGGGGCTGAGCATTTTGGGACAGCGATCAGCTGTTCACTCCGGGTCTCTGTAGCACCTAGCAGGGTGTGGAGCTGATCCCTGGCTGGGGTCTTAGGCTCCAGTACTGGGATAGTGCTCACATAAATCCCCCTCTCCTGTTAGCCAGTATCTCCCTCTTCTTCTTACAAAGTTCAGTTACCCTTCAGTGTCTGCACTGCTATACTTCCTAGCTCTGTGAATGCCTGAAATAAAAAATCCAGCCCTCTCACAAGGAGTGCACAGTCCAAGCAGATGACTGAGTTGAAGGGGGCCCAGTATGGACCAGCATCTGAGCTGGCAAAGCTGATCGTTCAGCTCAGCCCCTGCTTGACAGCTGGAAGCCCCCAAGTTCACCTCTCTCCTGAACCTGAGGCCTCAGCCAGGGATGGATGGTAGATTTGGTACAAGCATGACCCAAAAGATACTCTAGGGAAGAGCTATGAGATGTGGCTCATTTACAGCTTCACCGCCTGCCCTGAGTGC